TGATTGAAGAAATAATTAAGAAATTAATTTTTTTTAATGTATGTAATAATAAATAGAAATTCTTTTCATCACAAAAATTATTAAAATTGTTTGAAATTTTTTTTTACAATTCATATCTAATTTTTCTAATATTAATTTTTCATAATATATCCATATAAAATTTTTTATTACAATACTTTTCTTTTTGATATTTTAATTGTTGTTATTATTGTTATTATTATTATTATGAGGAAGATTGATAAGTTTTAAGTACATCTGTAACAGCATTGACACAAGTTACAACTGCAAATGCACCAGCATCTACGTTTTGTAAATATTTAGCTTGTTTTACATAGCTAGCACGGCCTACCCTGTAACACAAATTAAATAAAAGGATTAATCCAAAAATAACATAGAAAATATTGAAAACTATACACATGTTTAAGAATACGTAATATTTCTTTTAATATTTAATCATATTTTTTGATTCAATATATATCGTTCAATATGTGAATCGATATATATCGTTTTTATATATATAATCTGAAATTTTTTTCACATATATAACAATTTTTATTATTTTAAAATTAATATAATTATTTTCTCAAATAATTCTGATCGAAAAATAATTTTTTTTCTATTGTTAGATCGAATAAACAGAACAAGCAGAACAAAATTATCAAAGGAAAGATGTAGAAAAATTATGTATTTTTATGTACAATATAGAAAAAAAAAATGAAATATAGAAAAATATGAATATGAAGAAGAAAAAAAAAAAGAAAAAATTATACTACGCTTACATGGGTTTCATATGTTTCGTGGCCTCACACGCTTGCCAAGTTGATGTACGTAACGCATCACAAATTTCTGATAATGGTTTGTGTACCGTTTTGTCAAGAGTATCGCAAAGAGCATTGAGTGGATCAATCTATAACAAAAAAGAATGTTAATATCAATAATAAAATCATGATTTCATTATAATTATCATTTTATAAATTTCAAGATAGTAGTTTGTATTAAAGTTAACATTTACGTTACGAATTAAGAATTTAAATTAATAACTAGATGTACAATTCTAAATAACAATAATGATAAATAAAGTCTGTATTTTGATTAACATTTGTAATTATCCTCTTGTAATTATTCTATCTATTAATATCATTGAAATAAATTATAATTTAATTTATATATGAATATTGCCAGTATTATAAATAGTGTATGTATGAAAATTTATTCAATTCTTTGAATGAATTTTATAAATTATAAATCAATTGATCGTTTAATGTAAAATAATAAAATTATAAAAATTTATCATATAACAGAAATTTATAAACTATGATTTATTATAAATCAATATTTGACGAATGATCGAAAAAGTCTCTATCCTAGACTATCATAATATATATACAAGACTAACCAAAGATCTATCTCCTGGCATCGCTTTTCCATATTGCGTTAAACTATTTAAGGCGGAACGAAACGCACGAGCCCAAATTTCTGTCCAATTTTTGTTTGTAGGTGAAATTAATTGTGTGCTAATACTAGTAAAAAATAGACAATACAATGCTCCGGATGCACCACCCATTTCTTCTTCGGCTATATGCGCTAATTCAAGAAATGTCGACGCTGGATGTGAAAACTGTAATTTATCTATATTTAACAAAGCTCCTGAAAAATAATAAACAATAATAAATAAATGCAAATATGCAAATGAAATATATCAATTGCTTCGGATTAAATGAAAAAAATTATATATTCGATATTATCAACATCGAATTTTATCATTATATATAATGAAATAAAATTAATTTTTTTTTTTTTACTTATTTCACAATACGGAATATACGTACTAACGGCAAGCCTTTTAAGCGTTGATCCCGCATCACTGTCTCCGCATCCTCTATCTAAATCGTTCAGATGTTCTTCTTCTTTAATCGCATTCTCGCAAGCATTTTTTATGCAATTTTTTAATAAGTTTTGTAAATCTGAAGGAATTTCTATACCAATTTGATCTACTTTTCGTATTACTTCATGTTGAATGATCTGTTCTGTCGGTTCTAAAGGAACACTAAACTTGCTACCTAGCCACCTTGGTGCATCAGTTGGTGCATCGAGACATTTAAGAAAAAGACTTTTATGCTTGTCAGGTAATTTTAGAAGCGTAACGTGTACCCCAGCGCTATTTAACGATGTCATCACCATTCCCCAATATACTCGAACAGGTTTTATATTCATATTGCCTGATCCGAACAAAAAACAAAAGTTATATTTGATCGATTAAATGAATCATATTTATACCTATTAGATTAGATAATTAGATACATAATTTGATCAAAAAGAAAATTAACAAGGAAAAAGAAAATTTTATATAATCTTGATATAGATTATATATAGATCTCATACAGATCTTAAATTTTTTCAAATTATCATATATAATAATATGGTTACAAAAACAGAAAAATTAGTGAAATGATCAAATACAAATCGAATGCAATATTTGCGAGCAACAACTTTCAAACAATTATATGTATATACTTTTTTGAATAATCATATTATAGATAATTGCATTTTATATATCCGTTGCCGTTACAATTATTTTTCCATTTTTTATAAATAGTATTATAGAGAAGAAATAATATACACGAAGATTTAATCTTTTTCTTACGGAGTATTTTGACCACATCGTGAGCAACTATTCCTTGTTCCAATTGACTTAATGCTCCAAAATTATTAATAAGAACTGCAACCGAATCTCCATTTTTTAAAGATAATACGTTGATTATGCGGTCCAACATCATTGAAGCTATCTCGTACGACGGTTTTAATTCGTTTTCTCATATCCAGCCTCTCCATGAATTCCCATCCCAACTTCGATCTCATCTTCTGCAAGTTCGAACATTCGACGTTGACCTGGAACATGTAATATATAGTTTGCGTTAGTTCTACAATGTACAATTTATTTATATTTATTTATATTTGCTTTTTGATTCCATTCGAGATATAGCGTCGAGCAAAAAATGTGAACGTCGATTTGAACGTCGTTTCATTTCCTTTTAATCTCACTTTGATTTTCACCATTGCCACTGTTCGTACCATTTATATTTTTTATCGCGATTCACTGAATTGTTGGCTTGAGTAATTTAATTTACTCGAAGAGAGGTCTTGACACATGATAAATGAAAATGATATCCTCTTTTCTTCGATAAAATTTTTTCCCATATAAACCGAGTTTGATTCAAATTACATCGG